ATATATATATATATATATATAATTCAAAACACCGGAAACTCCCTTCTACTTTCTCTTCCTGTCCATGTAAGATGGGCAAAAACATGTGTGCACACAGTGTATGCGATATTACATTATCACATTGCAATTACAGCAAAAGGAAGGAAAAACAAATACGAATTCTCACCTCGATAACAGCTTGAGTAATCCTCTGTGGAGTTTCATGATTGTGATTCACTCCGTATCCGTATTGGGTTTGTTGCATACATCCTTTTGATTAAATCCTGGCATCTGGTCCTTTGTCTTGCTGCATGAATAAACCTTATTAAATCCAGCGAAACAATTGTCCACTGAGACTGGGGAGGAACGGTAAGGAAGTCCTGTAGCAAGCTGCGGCGGCCGCCAGGGCTCTGATTCTCAGAGATACATGAGATGATCCATGCTGTGTGTTTGTCAGAGGGGAGGGAGGACATTTTTGGGAAGACAGGCCATTTGCTCTGGAAGATCAAAAAAAAACATTCTCTGCAATGTCCTGAGGGGAAAAAAAACAAAAACAAAAAACTGCTACAAAAAGAAAAAGTCCATGATAGACCAAAGAACCAAAGCATCACCGTAAAAACCCTCGCGCCACCATCTTTCTGACAAAGCCAACGCTGGACTTCTCTGACAGCTGAGATCCTCAAATTTGTGTGTGAGCTATCAAACAGATCCAGCTGAGACAGAACAATGGCGGCTGGGGCAACCTGCGAGTCCCACGGTGGCAATGCATGAATGATAAACACAGTCACAAGGAGGAAGATCTGGTCTACGTATCATTTCACAAAGAAAGTTCCCAAAATAACACAAAAGGTTTCCCATCTGTCTTGCTTGTCTTTTCCATCCAATAAAGGCACTCCAGATTGGCCTCTTGGAAGCACTTCCAGCCTTCATCGAGCCACAAATGCCTTTTATTCTCCAAAACAACACCACCACAAAAAAAAAAAAGAGCAGAATAAAGGTCTGAATTTTTGAAAAAGTGCTATTGTCCCCACTTTTTGCTTCTTCTTTTCTTTCAGACCAAATTTAAAGTGCAAAGATGAGGTAAACTATTTTTTCATAGTTTGTCTCTTATCAAAGGTAGTCTTTTTTTTCTTTTTTTTTTCTTCATTGGAAATGAAGTCCTTTTGCACCCTTTTCATTCTCCGTTTCGAATCTCTCAGACAGGAACCATTCTGCCTTGCATCTGTTGCATCTGGGAGAGCATTCCCTGGACACTTGTCAGGATCTTGCTCTGATGTGCTGCTGAGGAGATTCCAATGCGAGTCAGGTCCCTGCAAGGAGAGGACGCACACTCTTCAGAACAACTAAAACAGAACAGACTAATGATCCACAGAATGGGTTTTGCAGTTTTCCAGCGGGCTGACATGTTAAACTGCTGAATAAGCAATTTCAGCTGCCAACACAGCAATCCCAATCTTGTCATTTTAAGGGATTAGATGAATAACTGGAATAACAGAGACGGATACATGCATGCCATAAATACTTCCTCACTAAGATTAAAAGAAAGCCACAAATGCGTGTATGAGTGTCTGTGTGCGTGTGCGCGCATGGTTGCGTGTCTCTAGAACTGTAGTTTTAAGAACGCAACAGTTGTGCACAAACAACCACTTCAAAATCCTTTTGAAAGCAGAGTACACCGCAATGAGAAGTCAACTGTCCTACTCACTCTTGCGTCATGTGGATCACCGCCTCTGGAGCCGTGTAGCTGGCGGCTGTAAAGTTGTCAATGTATCTCTCCATGCCAATGGCCTGAAGCCAGTCCTCTACTGTGCCCACGGCTGAGGACCCCTCAGGGCTGGCGGGCTCCAGCAGGGTGGTGGTAGGCCTGATGAGTGGCGAGAGGTCAAGAGAGAGGAAATAAAGAAAAAAAAAGTGGAGAATTATTATTTTATTATTATTTTTGAGCAAAATAAACAGATTTTTGCCTCTTATGCGATAATTGTAAACAATGCATGACCACACACCTTGGCATGCAACATTTCCTTCCACCCTCTCTTCTTGGCTAATCCATATCCCCTTTGTATGAATCTCAACAAAAGCCAAGCTAAATCAACGATAAATTCCTCTGAGGTGTGACGATTTGAATGGTGGAATGGCTTTTTTCGAAATATTCTTCACTCTGGTAGGTGTACTAATCCCATCAAAAGTATCAATGACAAAACACCCATCTATCATATCTGCATACATACACACACTTTCTCTTTCCGTCATTTCTCCTTACAAGCTGTATTTATAGCGTTCCGTTGTGCTAATTACTCCACAAGGAACCTCTTCCACTCTCGTTGTGTAACATAGGGTGAGCATGGGAATGTGTGCTCAAACACTCAATAAACTCAAACAGACATCCACTGGGCGGCACTGAGTCTGTAAACACATGTAGGTCATTCTTGACACATTTTAGCCACTCAAGAGTAATAGCGTAGAAGCTGTCGGGTCATATTTGTTTTTGACTTTGAACCCTAGCGCTACATCGGAGTTCTCCAGACAGTCAAAATTACCGAGTGTATAGAAGCATTGAAGATAATTTGAAGAGGAATCTATTAGCCAGCCTCTTTGGGCTGCAATCGGCCACATGTTGCTGGTGGAAACATTTAATGTTTAGTAAAAAGGGAACTAATGGCAGGGTTATGTTACATGGCGTGCGATAATAAAATGACACAGAAACAAAACTGTCGACTCTGTCCTGATGTTTCTACTTTATTTTTCTTTTAACACATCATAAACAGTTAGTACAAATGTACAGACACCCTCCTAGTCCATTAATCATTGACTTCACCAAAACAACCAGAGCCCATAAAGCCATAGTTGGGTGACTTTTGAGAGCCCTGACCATCAAACACCTTTGGGATATGTGAGCTACAAGTCGCCCAGTTCCACTCCCGTCACCTTTGACCTCGCAAATATTTTTTTGTGGATGAAAGGGCAGAACACACACGCTATAAAACCTGTGGAAAGTTACGGTATTTTGACTACATTTATAGATTGTCAGCCAGACCTTGGCAGAATATTTCACTTTGGTGTCATATGGAGTACATTTGTTATTCAGTTTCACATTGCAATGTGCTATGGGAATTGTGATGCACTTCAATATGAACCAATTCACTAGTCAGAATAATGTCAGCCGATCAATACCATTGGAGTCGTCATTACTGAAAGGATCATACTTGTGTTAGTAGCCCTCCTCACCTGAGAGCACCGTTTCCACCAGTTCTCTTCAGACTGTTGGGGTTCCGAATCAGCTTATCCAACATGTTGACAATCTGGCCAAACTTTGGTCGCTCTGCCCTCTCTCTCTGCCAGCAGTCCAGCATGAGCTGGTGGAGAGCCACGGGACAGTCCATTGGTGGGGGCAGCCGATAACCCTCGTCAATGGCTTTGATGACCTATTAAAAGACATGAAGCTATACTTGAAGCCACCATGTTTCTGATACCTTTCAATGACAATATTCGGAACGATTAGGGTTCATTTGATCATTCAATGTTGTGACACGTCTGTGGTCGTATTAAAATAGCAGTGAGCCTATGTCATTGTGACTTACATCTTGGTTACTCATGTCCCAATATGGCCGCTCGCCATATGACATCACCTCCCACATGACGATGCCGTAGCTCCACACATCACTGGATGAAGTGAACTTCCTGTAAGCGATGGCCTCAGGAGCCGTCCAGCGGATAGGGATCTTCCCTCCCTATATTGATCAAAAAAAAAAAAAATGACCTGATAAATCAAGGCTGACAAATCGCAGAATAGCAATGTCACGTCGTCAGTTACTGTCACGTCCCACACATGACCATACACTCACTCTGGTTGTGTATGCAGCCTCAGGGTCGTCCTCCAGCACACGAGACATGCCAAAGTCGGACACCTTGCAAACCAAGTTGCAGTTGACCAGGATGTTGCGAGCTGCAAGATCACGGTGGACGTAGCTCATGTCTGACAGGTACTTCATGCCTGATGCGATACCACGTAGGATGCCTACTAGCTGGATCACAGTGAAGTGGCCGTCATTCTTCTGCACACATGAGAAACAAGTTGTTGATCAAGTCAACTGCGTTACCATTAAAAAACAGCTGTCTTATGTGAAATACATTCAACAAACGCATGTGACTCTTTACCGTTCTATATGGTTTGAGCGTTTGCTACAAATTTTGTCGGTTCAACGAGACCTCTGTGCTCTTGAAGACACAAGAAGTAGCTCTGTGTTTCAAAAAGGTTGGTGACCCCTGCTCGAGACTTTAGGCAGGATGCTTGATGCTCATAAAGATCCTCCAAAGCTTCAAGTTTAGTGAACCTTACCGACACAGAAGTGAAACCTGAGTAAAATTCTTGTCGCAAAGATGCTAAGTCGATAAAGGAGGAGGGATAAAGATTAGAATGAATGTTTGTGAACAAGTGCTTGTAATTTGGGTGGATGACATTAAAGTGATAAGATGGGATCAGTATACTACAGGTGTAGCTCTCTCGCTCTCTCTTTCTTTCTCACACACACACACACACACACACACACACACACACACACACACACACACACACACACACACACACACACAGAAACGCATGACTGACCCTCAGGAATGCATCCAGCGATCTGTTTTCCATGTACTCTGTGATAATCATCACTGGCTTACCTAGAGAGAAAGAGAGAGAGAGAGAGGGAGAGAGAGAGAGAGAGAGAGAGAGAGAGAGAGAGAGAGAGAGAGAGAGAGAGAATGAAAGACAGATGATTATAGAGCTAAATGATGCACATGACAGCCCAGCAGTCTCAGTGGAATTTAAGTGTGTGTGTGTGTGTGTGTGCGTGTGTGCGTGTGTGTGTGTGTGTGTGTGTGTGTGTGTGTGTGTGTGTGTGTGTGTGTGTGTATTTGGCCATCTCTCTCTGTCCCACAGTGATTTAATGAGCTCAATGTAACGGTTGCCCAGACATCCTCTTTCTTTGGTTGCACAAGCAAAGGCATCTCGTCTGAAACAAAACTAGACTACGCACCCATCTGGTCTTAATGCAAATATGACAGACTTTGGATATGTTATGTGAGATCTCATCACAATCACCCAGCCAGAGTCTATTCGAGTCAGTATTTATGCCCCTGACTGTTCCTTGGAGATCTTTCCCCTGACCAACTTCTGACACATCTGTCACCATCCTCTGTGTTGCATATTTCCATCTCCTTCCCATACGCTGAATCATTCCCTTGATCCCGCCCATTCCGCCTTGGCCTTTTTCACCTCATCCCTCTATCTTGGCCACTCTTCTCTTTGGGGAGCATCTGTGTCTTTATCTGAGCGAGACATGCGACGGGTAGGGTGGCTGTTCCCTGGTGGGTCTCTGTTTGTCTTTTTTTCCCAATGGATGAGGGGGGGATAGCAGGCAGGAGGAGCAAGACACGAACAGAAGAAAGAGTAACGATGGCTTGTTTTTATCCCCAACTGTCGACCCGTGACAGAAGTGTTAATAGCAATAAATTTCAAGTTCAAAGCTGATTGCAATGAGAAGTGCTGAGTTAAGGCTTTTGCTTGAAATGCAAAATCTCGAATGCATTCTTGTAGAGAACTCAGAGTAGGAGAGAGCTGAGCCGCTGGCGGCTGAGATCCTAGAGGTGACGTTCCCCTCCACAGCAAGGCTGCTCGCCTTGCCAAGGGGCTGTCATTCACCCCCTCACCCGCTGTGTGACTGGCACGCCATTAATCATGGGGCGCTCGGACGATGCCCCCAAAAGAGGAAGTGGATTTAAAGCTGGGGGAGAGCGGGGGCCCTGTCTGTCAGCCATCTTTGTTCCCTTTGTTGCGCACCTCTGCCCTCGAGGCACCAGTGATTGACAGCTCCCCAATCCAGTCTGAAGAGCATCTGACCTGCGACCCGAAACTCTCGCCTTTTCAGCCCCGCCCTATTCCTCACGGCTTATTTGCATGCTAATTCCGTGTTTACTGAATACGCCCCGCCGCCTTTGGCAATGAACCCTAGGCAGGGACTCTCGAAAGACGGCTGATTATCACCTGCCAATGAAAGCGGGTAGGGAGAATCAGGCAACAAAGGGACAATATTGGGAACTCAAAAGACAAATGCTCCTCAGAGGCCCACTCAAACACAAAGACACGCTTTTAATAACTCATCGGTCTTTAATTTAGAGGCTTGCTTTATGTAGATTAGACATTTTAATGGGGACTGGATTTAAGGCTGAAGGCATCCAATTGCACTCCGGCAGCCCACAGTGAAGAGGATTTTATAAAATTATGTATTTTAGAAGCCCTTCGAGGTGTATTCATAATTAATATGCCTTAACTGACTCTGTTGGACATGCCAACAAGTTCATGCCACATTAAGAATTCCTTTTAACTTTATTGAAAGAGAGAGGAGAGGGCAATTCAAATAATGGCTTTTTTTAAAATAGATTCCACGAGACACGCTAAAGTGAAGGACTCATTTGCCCAAATCTTGAGTTGTGGTCTCAGAAGGCAGAGTGGAAGGAGGCGAGTTAGTTATCAGATGCCCTTCTTGCTAAGGCACACCAGCCTTTCATGTTTGCGGCTATCACTGCGGCACGGTTCATCTGTCTCCCTCATCTAACCCTCAAATGCTTCATCATTTTCAATTTCTGGTTCATTCGCTCTCTTAGCCTCTCTGTTTTTTGTTTTTTTTTTCTTTTGTTGTCATTCCCGCTGTTGTCCTCTGTAGCTCCTTCAATCCATCACCTTCTAAACGCCCGGCTGTCTTTTCCTCTCTGCAACTCTATTTGCACCTTCCATGGCTTGTCTCCGATTTCTTTTCCTTGCGCCCGTCCTTCCATCTGCATTTCCTGTGCCTTTCTCACGGCTTCTCGTTGAGGTCTGAGGGGTCATATAAGGGGTGATAGGTGTTGGAACAGATAAGTAATTCTACCAGAGCCGCTGTTCACTTTCAGGCCGGTCTAGGCCGTGCATGCATCTGTCTTGTCTTGCGTGTGTAAAAGGGTCAGAGACAGTGTTATCGAGCAGAGATAGAACCAGGCTGCTGCTATGTCACGACACATTAAGGCACTTCATCTGTCTAACCTAAGCTGAGGCTGGCCAACAGCTATCGGCCCTCCCGAACACATGCATAGAACGCGAAGTGCACAGACGTGTTGACAAGAGATTTACACAAACACACAAGCACCTCAGTCCTGCCAAACAGAACTGAGACAAGGAGTAAATGGTAGAGCGAAGCTGGGGGGAGACGTAAAAAAGATAACACCAAGGGCAGAGGGAGGGAGATGTGACCAGGATTTTGTGACCGTGCGGCAGCAGATAGAGCAGGGATAGGGTATCACTCCCTAACCCCAAACACATTTAGAACTGACACCATGATTAATGAGCCCAGTGCCGCACTACAGGGACTGTTCCTGGGCCATTAGCACCCCTCCACCCCCCCGCACCTCACCATTTGCCCACCTTGGTCTATTTCCCCTTAACCTTCCCACTGACGACGTAGCCCGTCCATCTGGAAAAAGGCCACCCGGTGACAGCCTGACTGTGAAATACAAACCCTTTTCCAGTGCAGTTGGGACGTTGTGTTATCATAAAAATTGAATAAAACTGATTTGCAAATCATTTTCAACCTATATTTAATTGAATGCACTCCAAATACAATATATTTCATGTTCAAACAGACAAACGTTATTGTTTTTAGCAGATAATCATTAACTTGCAAAAAAGATGGCATAAAAGACAGGAAGTTGAGGAATGCTGATCAAACACCTGTTTGGAACATCCATTAGGCTAATTGGGAACAGGTGGATGCCATGTTTGGGTATAAAAGGAGTTTCCCTGAATTGCTCAGACATTCACAAACAAAAATGGGGCGAGATTCATCTCTTTGTGAACAACTGCTTGAGAAAATAATAGAACAGTTAAAGGACAATGTTCCTCAATGTACACCTCCAAGGAATTTCGGGATTTCAGCATCTAAAACTCCATAAGATCATCAAAAGGTTACGAGAATCTGGAGAAATCACTGCATGGAAGCGGCAATGTGGAAGACCAGCATTGAATGCTTGTGGCCTTTGATCCCTCGGGAGGCACTGCATCAAAAACTGACATCCCCGTGTAAAGGACCACATGGGCTCGGGAACACTTTAGTAAATAAAGTTTGGCACTACATCTTTAAGTGCAACTTCAAACTCGACGATGCAAAGCAAAGGTTTATCAATGACACAGAGAAATGCCACCGGCCTCTCTGGAACCGAGCTTGTCTATGATCGCCTGATGGCAAGTGGAAAAGTGTTCTGTGGTCTGACGAGTCCACATTTCAAGTTGCTTTTGGAATTTGTGGACGTTGTGTCCTCTGGGCCATAGAGGAAAAGAACCATTCAATCTGTTCAAAAGCCAGCATCTGTGAGGGCGTGGGGCTTCGTTAGTGCCAATGGTATGGGTTAACTTACATATGTGTGAATTCACCATTAATGCTGAAAGGTACACACAGGTTTTGGAGAAACATATGCAGCCATAAAATTCAAAGTTAATGATGATTTGCTAAAAACAACAGAACATCAAATATCTTGTCTTTGTCATGTATTCAATTAAATAAAGGTTGAACATGATTTGCAAATCATTGCTTTCTGTTTTTGTTTATGTTTAACATAATGTCCCAACGTCATTGGAATTGGGTTTGTACTTCCAACACACTCATCATGGTGGGATGCTACAGCTTTTCCGGATGCACTTCAGACATAATCAGTACATACTGCTACTCACACATTAGTCTAGTCATGTTCAATTAATTACATAAATAGAATCGTTTACATATCCTACAACCTCCTGAAACAATCCAAAGCAAAGTCCTTCCATATGGGAATACTATCACTCAAAGAAAACATTTGTCTGAATCAACCTTCCACCAATGTCACCCACAATGTAGGCTGGAATGATTTATTGTTACATTTTTATGGGGTGGGTGTGGGTGGTGCTGGGAGGGTTGGGGTGCGATGTAGATGGATATGTCCTTTTTAGTGTATTAAATATACAGTGTATTGCACATATTAAACATGTGCACACATTTGTGTGTTTGAGGAAGTTCTGAATAATTGGGAACCTGTAAGTCAAGGTTATTAATGACTGACTTGTAACTTCTAACAGCAGCAGTAAAGAAAAATAAACACATACATTTGGTGACTACACCTTCCAGGTGGATGATGTTGGGATGGTCAAATTGGCCCATAATGCTGGCCTCAGCCAAGAAGTCCCTCCTCTGCTGGTCGGTGTATCCAGCCTTCAGCGTCTTTATGGCCACACAGATCTCTCTCTTGCCGGGCATTTTCAAACGGCCACTGCAGACCTCACCAAACTCCCCTGAAACAAACATAGTTCCGTTTAAAGTGCCAGTGTTTGTTTTTTTATGTGTATGTTGGAAGGGGTCCTCTTTAAACATTGATCAAGGTCTCCACTCCCTTATTGCTCCCTTCATGCAGCCGGCTGTGCAGTGAGAGAGAGGGACAAGAAATGGATATTGATCTTTCTCTTTATTGTTTTGTCATTGGATGACTTTTCTTCAGCTATAGAGTAGTACCGTATTTTCCGCACTAAAAGGCACAGCGCGCCTTAAAATCTGATGCGCCTTGTGTATGGTTATTACGGTAATATGTCGACCCCAAAATGGCTCCTTGCTAGAGACATGCTTACAACGCAGAGTTCAAACTTAAGGCGATCGGGTTACGCAGTTGAACACGGAAATAGAGCAGCGACAAGAGAGTTCAATGTGAACGAGTCAATGTTATAGCTTTCTGTTGGTTAAGTCAACTGTGTCGCTGCTTTATTAAATACGTTTTACTGACATTTGATCGTTCTGTAGCAACGCCACTCAATAGCTAAGCTATCTTAGCTGTTGTCGTTTGTTCAAAGCTTCTTTGATTGATGACGTGAGTTGCGTCGGCGCTGATTGGTTGAACCACGTGCGTACGTGCTCGCGCTCACGCGCGCACAATGGAAACCAGCGGATTATGGACTGCTGAGGCACGCTTCACTCGAGTGGCGTTGCTACAGTTCTGTTGGCATTTCCTTAAGCGTAGCTCCATCTAGTGGATGCCTTGTAGATTGCGTCTTATAGTGCGGTGCGTCCAATATATCAAAAAAATAATATCAATAATGTCAATAATAATAATAATATAATCAAAATAAGCCATTCATTGAAGGTGCGCCTCATAATCCAGTGCGCTTTTTAGTGTGGAAAATACAGTACAACATATTTAGCTTCTAATGTTGTCCTCAAAGACAGACAATAAGTTAATATCAGGGAACAACAAAAAAAAGTGTTTCTCTTGAAGAAAGGCAGGATTTGCATGAAAATAAAAAAATAACAAAATTCCATCCAAATAGTCTTTCTCGGCAATATCTCAGCAAAGAAATACACGTAATGTGAATTGGTGAGAGATGAATAGTTTGAAAATATTTTCCACTTACCGACACCAATTACTTTCTCAATCTTGATACAGGATGCATCAATCTCTTTGGCAAACTCACGTACAGCTTGGTTTGGGTCCTCATAGGTAAAGGGGTCAACGTATGTTCTCACTCCTTTTGAAACAAAATCAAAAATTCAGCAGTCTGGAAAGAACTCTTCATCTCTTCTTTTATTTTTATTTTGCTGTAGGCTAGACCAGGGGTCCCCAACCTTTTTTGCCCCACGGACCGGTTTAAGTCAGACAATATTTTCAGGGACCGGCATTTAAGGTCTGGCGGATTAATACAACAAAATAATATGGTATGAGCTGCATGAAAACTGTGGTGTTTTCGAAATATAATAATAAACACAAGGAGCGTCTAATCTGGTCGCAACACTCTTATCGCTCTGGTAATGTTTAATGCCTTCAAAATACGATACAACGCAAATTCAAAGTGCATGAAAATGACGACTCACCACAGCCCCGAGCTTGATTTTCTGCAATCAGACAGTCCCATCTCGGGGTAATAGGAGACAATGACACCTCAAGTGTGTGGTTTATGTCCAGTCTACTTCGTAATTTTGTTTTAGTCGCTGTTGCTGCAGAAACTCCCCACCTCACACAGGTAGGATGTCGGAAATAGCAACAGTGCTATTGTGGCGATCTCAGAGTATTCAGCCATAACTTTGATCCAGTAGTTTCGAACGTACTTTTAAGGCCGCCGTCATTTGCGATCTCCAAGCAGCTTTTTTACTCATTTTGCGGGCTTCAGCGTTTTGTTTATGAGCGTCATCGGTCACGTGACCGAGAAGTGTGCCTTGACGTGAGTCAAGCGTGACACAGACGGATGTAACAGAGAATCCGGTAATTTTTCAAAATAAAACATATTTCGTATTCCGAAATAAATAAAACGGAAATAAGGCAAGTTCTTTCTGTGCGGCCCGGTACCAAATGCCCTGCGGACCGGTACCGGTCCGCGGACCGGTGGTTGGGGACCCCTGGGCTAGACCACACTTATCCACGCTCCTCTCTGTCCCTCAATACCTTGATTTACACTAATGCTGCTAATGTCACTATGGCTGACTGAGAAAGACAGAGCGCATTAACTTAAAACATTTGTGGGACATCAGGACCAATGCTAATGGTTTGATGATGAGCTTTTTAGAGGAAGGCAGGCTTCCAAATTGTTTGCACCGTCCTCCTCATTTATGGGCTCCAGTTGCGGTTTATAATGCATGCACATCCCCAAAAACACCAATGTTGCTCAATAACAGAATTATTATGCACTTGAAATTACCTTGATGTAAATGCTTCTCTTCATCTGACTCCTGCTTGGCTTTGCTGTACTTACTCCTTCTGGGGAGAGATAAAAACACCAGGACAGTTGGTTATGTGTCATGCTAAAAAAAAAAAAAAAATCTCCGAAAGGCAAAATTAAACATACATTCTGTCCCTTAAATTGGGGTTTTCTTGTGTGATGTATTTTTACAGTTTTGTCATTTACAATATTTCCTCCCTCTGAGGGCTAAAACAGGAACTTGAGGACGACTGAGGAGGGAATTCTAGCTGGAAATCAATTTTATAGGACAATATGCTAAAATCCCCCAGGATTATCTTGATGGGCTGATGTCTGTGACCACATGTGTGAGACATTGTCCTCCTCTGCAGTTGCGTAATGAGGGTTAACAGCTACGTGATTGCAGTCCCTCCCCACAATCACCGCATGGCCGCAGCAACACAATGACCGTGTTCATCACAAGCACACTGGATGAAGAAAGCAAAGGCAACCACCTGCTTGGTTGTAAAGCGAGACAATCACATGGAAATACAGGACATACAACAAATGTACACAACGGATCAAATTTATTGCCCAAAACACATGAACCTATGGAAACAAATATTTGGTGTGATATAAAAACGTTCACACACCAATTAACAAGTGAAAGTAAAGTGCACACAAATTTATAATGAAGTCAAAACCTATTAATGCTACCAAAATTGCACACGCGCGCGCACACACGCACACACACACACACACACACACACACACACACACACACACACACACACACACACACACACACACCCACACACACACACACACACAC